GCCTCACCTTTCTTTCTGTTATCGTATCATATCTTCCTCAAGTATAAAGTCCAATACAGAACTGAACAGTAGAGTACGTAACACGATTTCCGATGTTCTATTTCATAGAAAACTTTATACGCAAACTTTATGACTTTCACTGCTGTGAAAGTATTTTTCTAACGAGAGTGTATTTCTTTTTGCCATGTAATATGGTGAGTTGGTTTCCTGTTACAGAACTCATTTGTTTTCGACGCGGCCTCATAATTTCCTTCAAAAGTTGGGGCAATCATTCGTCCACTTTCACACCTGCTAATATTTTGGGGCTACGCGGGCGACAGCGAGAAGAAGTTGTTTTAGTGGCGCCAGCCCTCCGCCTCTCTGTCAAGTTTTATGGACTGTATTGGAAGGTGTGTTGGTGCTAAGCCGTTCACTAAACGTCAGCAATTCTACCATCCCTCAACTCTGACCGCCAGTCATTTCGCTTTGCGAAGAAAGTCTCCTGATTCCTGATCTCGCGCAAAAACAACTGCAATTATTAACGGTCAATCTGGAGGAAAATTTGCTCACCAAACAGCGTATTTCGAATGATTGAGTCTTGAGGTTAGCTGAGCAATGTTGCACCAACAATCATTCGAAGAAATCTTATTTTTGCCATTTGCTTTCGACATCAGATTCTTCTGGTCAATATTCAATACTCATATTCTCAGATGAAGTTAGGTGCGTAGTTGTTTCTGAAAACTGAGGTGACATACGTCTAAATTTAGCTTCGTTCACTTTGTTCATCACTGATGTGTGAATAAGGTTTATAAGCGAAAATGAACACTACAGATCAGCAGCACTGCTGTTAGGACAGTCGTATTTAATCACAACTATACATCGACTTCCCATTGGTATGGCATTGATAACCATAAATTTTACCATATTCACGTGGAAGAAATTATTCGACAGTCATACGTTCATGTACGCTACTGTTCATGTAATACACATTTACATTTAGACATCTTTCAGTTCAAAAACTGTAAAAGACCAGTTTGCCATGGATGTTCACTTAGCGTTCCGCGGCACAATATTGATTGTAACGCCATTTAATGGAGTGGCTGTTGCTCCCTGAAGAATTTTCAGCGGCACCTAATTAAAGCCACTGTTCAGCTGCTTCATAAAATAGCAAACAATTTCATTCATTTCTATCATTTAAATCATTTTTATTCCTACAAATAACTGTATGAGTAGCAGCTAATATGCTGCAAGTGCAACGGCATGTCTCATGCGAATTTAAAACTGTAACTTTCACCCTGTATTTGTAGCAGATGGTCCGCTGGTAATAGAAAATCTATTTGGACTGGCACAGTAGAAAGAGGAGATCCTAAATAACTTGACGAACGACACGGTGCGTTTCATATCTGAGAAAGGCTGTTGCACGCGTCCAAACAACTTTCGTGGAATATGCCTCCAATCTGTTCCTGCACAACGTTAATGCTTGTTATGGTGAACAGGATCACGCAACACCTTGAGAAAATCCTGGATATAGAGCAGCTGTGATTCAGGGCAATAAGATGATATGTGGATACGATATCTTGTGGAAGAAATGAACGTGACAATCGTATTCAACCAAGCGTTTGAATCAATCTAGAGAGATGCCGTGTAGAAAATTGGGAACAGTATTGAATTGTGTCGAATATTAAGTCCATAAATATACAGAATTATACAAATGCTTAATCTTTTGCCAAGTGTTTCGTGAATTAATGACAAGTTCGGCACATTCATTAGTACAAAATTCGCAGAAAGACAGAGAAGAGTCGAATCGCTTCTACCATTTGCGATATTTCATGACTGGACGCTCGAGCCAATGGGAAGGAGTAAGGCTATGGTGATCAGAGCGAGCAACATCTGAGAAAACTCTGGTAATTGCGGATAACATTGCGTTGTTTGCAGATTACTTCGCAGCTGCGATATCACTGATCCTAACTTTGAAACTAAGGTATTCTGACTTAGGTTTGAAGATTACGATTGAGAAATCGAAGTGGATGGAAAATGGCAGAACCACTGATATTTGGAATCAAAGTTTTGGAAAAGATATCAGCGTATCTATACATCTGTGTCAAGATAGTACATTCGCTGCAGAGACGGGTGACTAACGAAGTTAAGAGGTTCCATGTGTTGATACTGGTCACGAACAACAAATTATTCAAGCTCTAAAAGGATAATGGTGTTTGCAAGGAAACAACCTGCGGATACACATGTCTTGCATTGTGAACAGTTATCTCTATGGCTTGGAGACGACCGCATTTAATGAAGCTGAAAAACAGTTCACTGAAAGCGACGGACATGAAGATCTTCAGATCTATATTAAGTGTAAAGTGGTAGGACCTGGTGTTATATGGTGTAAGAGACAGGTTAGAATATTCAACCAAGGTGACAGACTGGTTGCAATCAAGGTTTCTAAGATGATGGGACCATTGCCAACGAATGGAGGATAGTCGTCTTGTTAGATGAATACTGAGCACACATTGTGATGACAGGCAACAGCCAAGGAGATATCCAACAAGATCGGACTGACAATATGTCAAAAGGACTGAACCGTGAGCCCAATTTATTCGATGAAAGTAGAATGCTTGTATGGAATCCGAAGCCTTCTATCCAG